AGAACTCATCAAATTGTACACTTTAAGGGTCTATAATTCATTGTGTCAGTGTACTTAAACAAAGTTGAACATCCATTATGAAAAGTGGGAGATCTCTGGGTGGGAGATTTCCATGCAAATACTGGAAGATTCTACTCCCTCCTACAAATGTCACTTTCTTAAAACAAAGCACCTCTCTTCAGTAACATGAGGGCCAGGATCCATATTCTCCTAACAGTACTGGGTGAAAACTATCATGTATTGCTTCTCTGTACTCTACTTTCTATGATCATCATTGAATTATCTTAAACTCTTCTTTCTTCAGGCCTTGTCAGAGCCCTAATTGAGCTATAGTCAGGTCACTGAGAGCAAATGTGGGAGTCATCCTGTGCTCATTAATTTTAACTTATTTCATAAGTCCAAAGCCCATGAGACCACGTAGTAATATGTTCATTTATCAATTATGCAAACGAATATTGAAGCCAACACTTTTCCAGGTCGTATAAACTGGTGATATAGAGATAAATGAGATGTGGGCTTTGCTGTCAAGAAGTTCACAGTCTGGTGCCTTCATGTTTGAGGGGTATTCATTGCCACATCCTTCCATATGTTCTCATACATAATCTTATTTAAGATATTCATTACTCTTTTATGAATGTCCATTACGGGTTGGAAGGAATTTGTATGGAGAGGTCATTTATGCTGTGTCCCAGGTTTGGTTGCTGCTTTCCATGCTTCCATGACTTCATTCTGGCACTTTTCCCCATCCTGTCACTTTGAGGAAAGCCCTCTTCACATCTTTGTTCCTGAGGCTATAGATAATGGGGTTGAGAAAGGCAGAGATCACGTTATAGAAAAGAGCCAACTTCTTGTCCTCTTCTGGGGAGGCCTCAGAGCCAGGTCTCATGTACATAACCATGCATGGTATGGAGAACATAGTGACCACAGTGATGTGGGAGGCACAAGTGGAGAAGGCTTTAAGCCTCCCCTGGGCTGAACGAATCCTCAAGATGGCAGCAAAGATATTGATGTAAACAATGATGATGAGGGAGAGTGGGACCAGCAGAAGGATGAAGCCAAGGATGAAGTCCACTCGGTCATTGAGGGATGTGTCTGCACAGGCCAACTTCAAGACAGCAGGTACTTCACAGAAGAAGTGATTTATCTCATTAGGACCACAATAGGGAAGAATCATAGCAGAGACTGTGTATATCAGGGCACAGCTGATACCCCAGAATCCACAGAAAGCCACCATTAACCCACATAGCAAAGGGCTCATAATAACCTTATACCTGAGAGGATAGCAAATGGCCACATACCTGTCATAAGCCATGATTGCAAATAGCCAAGACTCAGTGATGCCCAGCATCAGGAAGATGTACATCTGGGTTACACATCCAATATAGGAGATGGTCTTCTTCTGACAAATCATATGTACCAACATCTGAGGTACTGTGGTAGTGACATATCCCATGTCCATAATGGAAAGAACACTGAGGAAAAAGTACATGGGTGTGTGCAGACGACTGTCAATCCGTATCAGAGTGATAATGAGCCCATTGCCTAGAAGAGTGATGAGGTAGAGGAAGAGGAAAATACTGAAAAGAATAACATTTATCTGTGTATTACTAGAGAATCCTAGAAGAATAAACTCAGTAAGAAAGGTGTAGTTTCCCCTGAGGAAATCTTGCATTTTGTTTCTTCTGTAGAGAAAGAACAGAGACATCATACATAAAGGTGAAATCTTCAGATTCTAACAAAGCTGCTGTTCATATATTTATTAGGAGTGCCAGTTACAAATAGCAGAGTAGTACATATTAGTTTACCCACAAAGTGGGTAAAATTATATATATACATATATATATATATATATATATATATATATAAAGAACTTCTATTTGATATGAAATGGTATGTAAATATTCTTTTAATCCCAGTTTATTCTGAAATTCCACATAATAAATTCCATATTCCATTCTGCAGTATGGATTACACCTCAATATAAAGAAAACAAAAATCCTCACAACTGGTCCAATAAACAGCTTCACAATAAATGGAGAAAAGATTGAAGTTGGCAAGGACTTTATATTACTTGGTTCTACAATCAATACCAATGGAAGAGGCAGTCAAGACATCAAATGTCGTATTATGTTGGGCAAATCTGCTGCAAAAGACCTCTTTCAAGTGATGAAGAGCAAAGATTCTCCTTGAAGACTAAGGTGCACCTAACCCAAGCCATGGTAATTTCAATCGCCTCTTATGTATGTGAGAGCTGGACAATGAATAAGGAAGACTGAAGAAGAGTTGATGTTTTGAGTTGTGGTGTTGGAGAAGAATGCAAAGAGTACCGTGGCCTGCTAAAAGGACTAACAAATTTGTCATGGAAGAAGTGCAGCCAGAATACTCCTTGGAAGTGAGAATGACCAGACTTCATCTCACCTACTTTGGTCATGTTCTCAGAAGGAACCATTCCCTGGAGAAGGATATCATGCTTGGTAAAGTGGAGAGTCAATGAAGAAGGGGAAGGCCCTTAATGAGAGGGATTGACACAGTGCCTGCAATGATGGGCTCAGGTATAGCAAGGAACATGAGGCTGGCACAGGACCAGGCAGTGTTTTATTCTGCTATGCATAGGGTCACCATGAGTCGGAGACAATTCAACGGCTCCTAACAACAACAGCAACATTACAAAATGTAGGGCTTTCAAAAGGATGGTCTTAAACTATTCTTTGCATTTACTACTTCATGTAGCTTATAAAAGATTTCAAAGAGAACAAGGAAAGAGTTAGAGATTTGAGAGCGTAGCATTTGCTTTGCCAATAGGGAAGAATGGGGATGTCTCCCCCTCCTTTGAAGCTCCTCTCAAAATGGGTTTCAATATGACCAGTTGAAGAGTTTGATGGGTACTCTGTAAGTTTAGAGGCACAGTTATTTGGTGTCTGGCTCAAACCTCTAGCAGCAGAAAAACAATTAGCATTTGAAAATAAATTGTACTCCTCATGAAGAGTCAAAGCCATATGTTTTCATAGACCAGTGGTGGGTAATACATAAGAGAAAGAAAGAGAGCTAGGAATTGGTTGTCTTGGATCCTGTGGTTAAGAGGTAAATTCTAGATTCAGGATTTCTAAATTTTTATTTAATCCTTGCTATTTATCAGCTGCATGGCCTTGGGCAAATTCTTTACTCTCTCTGTGCCACATCTTAAAATGGGGAAAATAATAGCAAATTACCTCTTAAATGTTGTGAGGATTAAATAAGCCAATGCAAGAAAAGCACATAAATAATAGTGGCCTGGCATATAGAAACACTCAATAAATGGTAGGTATTATAACCACTATTATTATTGTCATCTTTTCCAAAAGGATCCAGTTGGGGCAATGGTATCTTAAAAGAAGGAAGGTGGATGCTTGGAAGATGAGGAAGGATTTTTAAGAGATAGATTCTCTCTTATAAAGGGAGCTGCAAGTAAAATATTTGAAGAGATAGAAAAGTCTTAGAAAGCAAGGATAGGGGTTTCCTAATGCTGGTTATGATTCAATAAATAGTGACAGGCTGTAAAAACTAGAAAAAAAGAGAAAAAATTGCAAATATCACAATTTTAGCAATATCGGAAAGCTGTGAAAACACAGAAGAGTAAGTGAACCAAAATTACAAAGAGATTAAAAAAAAAAAAATTCCAAGGTAAGATGGAATCACTGGTCATGTTCTTCCCTAGAAGAATTTGGTGAGTCTCCTTACAAACTATGGGTCAGGCATGATATAGGAAGAGGAAGTTTACTAGGGGGAAAAGAAGTCAGCAGAGCTTTTGACCGCTGCATTGAGCTGACATGAGAGATTTAAACCTAGAAGCATTCCAAATTCAAGGCTGACTTCTCCCATAGGACATCCACTGAGTGATGGGGCAGAATAGAAGGCTGAGATGAAAAGATAGAATAAAATTCCCATTAGTTTCCACATTAGAGCAAGAGTTATCATTCCCAAATACAACTCTGATATCATACCTCTTTAATGGATCTTTATCACCCTCACTATAGCATTCACCTTCTTTAACCTATTTTTCATGACATCATAGGTCCTCCAAGGTCTGTCCTTGCCTACCTGTCCAGCCTTATCTTCCATCATCCCCTCATGCTTCTTAAGAGATATTCTCCCATTAGAGTAAGAGATCTGAAACAAATATATGACAGAATTCCTGAATCATTTATAACTGAAGTGCACTGATTTTGACTCAAGTTATAACCTGGTTCTGACCCTTCTTAATTCCTGTATATATTAATTCCTTTTCTACATAAAAGATAAAGAGTGGATTTTCTTTGGGGTGGGAGGAAAGCATTAACTTTGCAGTTCTTTTACACACAATCCCCATCAAATAGCATTTTGAAATATGTTAAAAGGCAAGAAAATGTGACCTCCAATCAAGAGGGGGAAAAATAAACATTAGAAGTATATAACTGAAAGCAAATAATGCAAGATTTACATACAAGTATTTTAAAGCAACTATTATAACTAAATTAATTAGAGAAAAATATGGAAAAATGCTTAGAATGAGAGAAAAGTTCAACAGAGAATTGAAATCAATAAAGTGCACAACACAAAACAATATTTGAAATTTAGACTCATTTGACAGTTTTAAAAACAGACTGGGAACAAATAAGACAATTTTAGTGAACTCAAAAACAGATCAATAAAAAATATTCAACCTAAATCCTCGAAATAAAAAATGAACAGAAAAGAGTACAAGAAGCAAATGGGACATATCATTTAACATGTGTCTGATTGGATGGACAAACAGAAAGAGAGAGAAGTAAGAGTAATAAAATTAAGAGATAATGACCAACAACTTTCCTAAATAAAAGAAAGATATGAACCCACAAAACAGAGATGCTGAAATAAATAAATAAATAAATGCTGAAATAAATGATACAATAAAACTGTTGAAAACCAAAGATACAGTCTCAAAAGCAACCAAAGAAAAAGACTTAGTACTTTCAAATGAGCAATAATGAGATTGACAGCAGACCTTCCAAAAGTAATTATGAAATCCAGAAGGCAATTGAATGACACCTTTAATGGGCAGAGGGAAGAAAGGGATGGAGGGAGAGAATGAAAGAAGGGAGAGTGGTAGGATGGAAGGGAGGGAGGAAAAGAGAAAGGGAGAAAAGGAGGGAAGCAGGGAGGGAAGAAGGAAAAGGAAAGAAAGCATTTAATTCTCCCAATAATTCTGTGATACAAGTTCTAGTATTATTTCACCTCAGAAAACAGGTTCAGATATATTCAGAAAATTTACCAAGATCTACAGATTGTAGGTGGAGGAACAAGGATGTAAATCCAAATATCTCTCACTTATTACTATAAGATGATTTCTAGGATCAAGGTAACACATGAACTCCATACAATTTATTTGGGGGAAGAATCCAAAGTCAAAAGTCAAGCTAATCTTTGATGAGTGAGCAGATGTTAAGTACTGGGGCAGGGCAGAGAAGGATATTCCATACAGAAGGACTATCATGTGTGAAGTCATGAAGCACGAGATAAACCAGGGGATGATGGAAGATAAGGCTGGACAGGTAGGCAAGGACAGACGTTGGAAGACCTATGATGTCATGAAAAATAGGTTAAAGAAGGTGAATGTTATAGTGAGGGTGATAAAGATCTATTAAAGAGGTATGATATCAGAATTGTATTTGGGAATGATAGCTCTGGCTCTAATGTGGAGACTTAATTAGAGGAAGAGAATGGCAGCTGCTGAAGTTTATTCAGTCAGGAAAAGATGAGAGTCAGAACTAGGCAGTGATTATTGATATAAGAGTTAGTTATTCAACAAGATTCTTTAGGTGAAATCTATGCATCTAGATAACTGATTAGGGAGTGGTGAGGAAGAAATGGGTTCAAGGAATGAATTCCATGTTTTGGCAATTAGATGGGTCATGGTGCTATTTGCTGAAATGGTTTTGTGAGGGAGGCAGGGAAGACAGATGATGAGTTTAATTTAGGACTCAGAGTCCGTGGGACTCCCAGTAGCTGCTGTATAGATAGATCTAGAGCTGACATCTCTTGAGATAGGAATCTGAATTTTATCCATACTTCTATAGTAGTTGAAGCTATTGGTGGAGTTGAGAAAACCCAGGGAAAATTTATAGAGGGAGAAATGAGTCAAAACAGAACTCAGAAAAATAGCAATTCTTAAGGGTTAGCTTTACTGAGAGAATATAGAGAAGAGGATAATAGTGTGGGACCAAGCAAATTAAAAAAATCAAACTCACTGCCCTTAAGTCAATTCTGACTCATAGAAACTCCCAGTGGATTCCTGAAGCTGTAAATGTTTACAAAAGTAGATTGCCCCATCTTCCTTCCAAGGAGTGGCCAGTGGATTTGAACCATTGACCTTCTGGTTAGCAGCCAAATGCCCTATCCACTACACCACCAGAGCTCCTTTTGAGGGAACAAAGAGGAGGAGAAAAACTTGGAGATCATGATAAGTGACACAGAGACCTAAGGAGAGAAGAGTTTTGGACGGAGAAGGTGGTCTTAGTGATCAAATACGCATAGACATCAAATTAAACAAAGACCAAAAGTGTCTATCCCATTTAGCAACAAGGAGACTTTGGGAGAATTGTTTCAACAAACGTCTACATGCTGCAGGTTAATAGAAGTTGATACAAACTCAATTATTGGGACATTTGGACCAGGTGC